ATACCGACTAATTTGTCAACCGAAATTCTTTCGTTTTCAATAACCTCTGTCACTTTCTTCGCTATCGGAAGCGAATTATAATGATGAGGCATTTGATTTAAATCATATCAAAGACGGAGTATATCGAAATGAAATACTACATTTAGTAAGCAATTATAAGGCAAATAAAATAAAAACATCTGCCCTGAAGATAAGGATAGTGCTGACAGATCAACTTTCAATTCATTGCGCACCCGGCGGGCGTTAAAGATAAACAAACATTAAAGTTTAGATAAACAAAGGATAAGCCTTTATCCATTTTTTGCAGCAATTCCACTTTTTGTTTAATGGACTCCGAAACATACTTTCGCTTTGTAGATTTGTTACATATTAGTAAATATAAATCGGAAATTCTATTTGACATAATCAAAAGTTCAAGCTTACTTTTATAAAATTGCTCTAACAGTCTGCAAAAAATAATAAGCCGGATCCAATTCAAAGATTAAGGAACAACGCAAGCTGCAACATTAACTGAAATAGATAATTAGAGCTTAGCTTATACAGTCCGTTATAAATTAAACGCGCATTCGTAAATGTATTTTGCACACGCGCAAATTCGCAGCCGTAAAGGCGTCAACGCGACGCATGCGCAGAAAGTTTGTAGCTTTGAAGTCTGGATTATAGATCATTCCGGATTATGGGTGTCCGAATTAACGACTTTTCACTGTATATGTTGAGTATTATCATGCATTTTCGTGAAGTCTTTCTAATTTATGAGAAAAAAGCAGGGTACCTGGATATAGTGAAGAGTGTGCGCAATGCCATTTTTGTGAAATTCTGGGATGTTAAGTAAAAACATAAAATGTTTTTTTAAGTAAAATAACGACAGAAATTCATACTAAAAAACAATGAACATAACATTCTACAAAATAAGAAAAAGAATAAAATAAAATGCACTTACCATGAATGAATGCTTTTTCGAACAGCAGAAATACCGGCTTATCTTTGGAATATGGTAACAGGTAGTTTGGCGACATTTTGGAGGCGATAAAGGTTACTACCTAGGACTGGTAATAATGTGAGAAGTACTCAGTTCCGATTACGCATTATTTTGTGTGAGAAAAATGAGAGATCATGAGATATGTCATGTGACATTAATGGACGAATTACAGTTCTTTAATCGGAACGTCGACGTGTACATGGTTTAGTGATATTTTAATTAAATTATAGTTATTTGTGAATTTTATGTTTGTAGGAATTTGGTGTACGTTTCAGTTGAAGTAAACGTGCAAGGAAATAATTTAAATATTTGACACTAAGTTTGTAACCATTTTTAATGTTTGTGGTAGAAATTCGTTGCTGACGTTCATAATATAATAGATAATTTAGAGGTAACATTTTTTGGATATTTTATTTATTTTATACGTGGAAATGTTCATCCTTGAAAGGGTATATACTTTTTCGCGATTAGGCAATTTCATACATGTGCTTTTTACCGAGTTTAGAGATTAAGAAAATTTTCCTGCATTTTCGTGTAAATTTTTGTACTTTATGAGAAAATAGCAGTGTAGATGGATAAAGTTAAGAGTATGTGCAATGGCATTTTTGTGCAATTCTGGGATGTATTTTTAAGTAAAAAATAAGTCGACGTGTAAATGGTTTATGTGTATGTGCTATTCTGAAAAACGCGCAAGAAGTTTGCGATTGTGCACTTTTTCCCAATTTTGCATTTAATATTTTGTCATGATTAAGCAGTTTTGTTACATAAAATTTTGGCTGATCTTTAGAATATGGTAACTGGTAGTTTGGCGACATTTTGGAGGCGATAAAGGTTAGTACCTGGAACTTTGGTAATAATGTGAGCAGTATTCAGTTCCGATTACACATTATTTTGTGTGAGGGAAATGAGAGATCATGGGATATGTCATGTGATATTAATGGACGAATTGCAGTTCTTTAATCGGAAAAGGGGGGAAATCGGGAAGAAATCTGGAAATTTTGTATTTAGCTTTATTCTGTGTTGTGTGAAACAGTGTTTGTTAATTTTTGGATCCCATGGCCCTAACTAAAGTGAATTCGAAATGGGTATTTAGTGGGATTGAAAGGGGTAGTAATAAGTGTTTCTTTAAGTTTGTGCGAGATAGAAGTAAAGATGTTTTATTAAGTTATTTATTTTACCTGGTACCTTGCTGTGAACTATAAGTATGATTTTAAAGATCCTGAAACAGGTGTACATACGCTTGCTTTTTATTTAGCAGAGGAAATAAGAAAAGTTTATCGGACACGTAATCAAGATTCTGAAGAAGATTGTTAAGTTAGTATTTTTAATTATTTGAGGATATTATTTTTATGCATTGTTCTAAATTGTAAGAGTAAATAAAATAATATTGGATTATATTTTAATTTATATTTTTAGTGTTTTGCATTTTTATTTTTAATTAATGATAGTTGTTTGATTTTAGTATGTTGTAGTAAGTATTTTGTAATGTTTGCAGTATGAATTAGTTGGTGACGTTTGTAATATAATAGATAATGTAGAGGTAAAAGTTTTTGGATATTTTATTTATTTTATATGGGAAAATGTTCATATTTGGAAAGGGTATATACTTTTTCACGATCAGGTAATTTCATATAGTATGTTCTTTTTACCGGGTTTAAAGATTTAGAAAATTGTCATGCATTTTCGTGAAATTTTTCTAATTTATCAGAAAAAAGGAGTGTACATGGATATGGTGAAGAGTGTGCGCAATGCCATTTTTGTGCAATTCTGGGATTTTTTTTTTAAGTAAAAATAAGTCGACATGTACAAGGTTTAGTGATATTTTTTTATTAAATGATAGTTATTTTGTGAATTTTATGTTTGTAGGAATTTGGTATACGTTTTAGTTGAAGTAAACGTGCATGGAAATAATTTAAATATTTGACACTAAGTATTTGTAATGCTTGCAGTATGAATTCGTTGGTGACGTTTATAATGTAATAGATAATTTTAGAGGTAAAAGTTTTTGGATATTTTATTTATTTTATATGTGGAAATGTTCATATTTGGAAAGGGTATATACTTTTCACTGCATCAGCGTTTCCTTACTTCTATCATGCACAGCCACTAAAAATAATCTCCCACACCCTCTTGCAACCACGTCTCATTGCAATATAGGCCATTTCAAAACACGCAAGACATGAACCACGAACCAATCAGCAATTAAACCAATTCAGCAAATGAGTTTTCAACATCAAAAGGGTTGCCATACAACACGCAATCATGGGAAAAACTAGTGCAGAACACATATCGCCACATCTGGTGATCTTAGGATGTAAGAGTAGAGCCGAAGAAATATTGCAAAAGTTCTTAGGTGCATCAAGTGACAAAGATTGCGGAGAAAGCAACAAATTGAAGAAGACTGACTAATGTATTGATATTCAAGAAAGGAGCGGATGGAAGTGATCATGAATTTTAGTTCACATGATATGGATATAGATTCTGAAAACAATAGTGAGAATGACATAATTGCTTTATTGAAAAAGAAATTATCGGAAAAAAAAAAAAAAAAAAAAAGGATGCAATGTTTGCTTGGCAAAAAAGGACAGGAAAAACAAAAAATCGCTATGCTGAATGTGAAAAATATTTGTATTTGGAACACACAACACTCTGGTGAATGTGCTGCTAACATTTGTAAATGCATTTGTCTCTTTGCCTATAGTACTAATAAAGCAAATAAAGAATCGATACAGAGTAAAGGTGCATTATTTTTTTTTTTTTCCCTAGGCTGATTCATAATACGATTTTCTATTCCTTTAAGAAATTTTATTTCATAAAAGCAAAAAAAAAAAAAAAAGTTTTTCATTGTGCAGATTTTTAAAATTTGATCCTAAAATTTATTACTGGCATAGATGTAACAATTTTTTTTTCAAAAATCATAAACCAGGTCTTCTGGACTAGTGTAAATCATATTACCACGCATGCTCCCGAGTTAAATAGTCCATGCTTTAGATTTAAGAAAAGATTCCGTCAACATCAAAATTGCATATTGACACTGAAAGGCAATGGAAGGTGACTATGCAAATAATTTTTTAATCTTCCAAAAACTCGGCAAAACAGGATAATTCAAGCTTCAGGTTTAAATTTTAGAATAAAATTACTTTGCATTACATTTTTGAAAATTTTTTAGCAGAAAGTAGTATAAAGAATACTTACATATTAGCACAGGCATTTTGGCAACTCTTTACAGAATGGTGACTTTATAATGCAAAAAAGCATTTGTGTTTTAACTACAAATTTAACTGTATAAGCAATTCAATAAACCTATTCTCTCTTTTCTTGTTCTGAAGAATTTTTATTACAAGTATTTTAACAATAGATATAAAGTACTTGTTCTCTACAGTAATTTTGTAGCAAGATATGGTATTCCTGCATAAATTTTAACAAAAATTTTTCCATTGTAGGCAAATCCCCCAAGCACATATTATAAAAATTAAGAACAGCAGTTTTAGCTATGTTTCCAATTTTGAACTTAAGTCAGAACATCTCTATAGATTACTCCATACCGGTTATAAGAAAATTTAATGATGCCTAAAAAAACCTACATATGTTCTACATCACTTCTATTAAAAAATCATTTTCTGCTGAAGTAACCATTGACAATACTACTATCAAGAATGCAGTATATTAGTCAAAATCATGCATTTACAATGATATAAATTTGGAATTATAAATAAATTATTTTCTTGCATTTCTATAAGCATACAAAACATTACCTTACAAAACACGGTGCATACAGAAAGAAATTACGAATGTGTTTTAGCCCTCTAAAATGTCACAACAAAATACTATCACTAGCAATTTTTTATCAACTGTCAAATATCATTTGCAAATTAGACATCGATAAAGGGTTCTTACAGACTATATTTCTATTTACAACAGGTAATACTTATATTATGATCATCAAAAATATACTGAGAAACTAGATCAAGAATTAGTTAAGAACATAATACTAAATTGCAAAAATATTAGTTTTACTTACCAACTTTAGGAGCATCGTAAGAATCTCCGAGCAAAATTTCAGGGGCTGAATAGGCTAGCGAACCACAAGAAGTCTCTAGTTTTTGTCCGGGACAAAATTTGTTGCTGAATCCGAAGTCTGTAAGTTTGACCATACCCAGTTTTTCGAAGAAAACAACATTCTCTGGTTTGAGGTCCCTATGCACAACGTGTAGTTTATGACAATAAGATATTGCATGCACAATCTGCCGAAAGTACTTTTTAGCCGTTTCTTCGTCCACACCGTTTTCATGTTTAATAATATAATCGTACATATCCCCTCCATCCCCCAGTTCTAGAATAAGGTATAACTTAGTTTGTGTATCGATTACATCATAAAGCCGCACTACATTTGGATGCTGCACCAATTTCATACATCGCACTTCTTGAAATAAATGGGCCCTTGATACATCATCTAGTTTAGTTTTGTCGATTACTTTTACGGCTACTTGCTCCCCAGTAAAAACATGTTTAGCTAATTTGACAACGGCAAAATGGCCGCGACCTAAAGTATCTCCTAAATCATACAAACCAGCTATTTTTCCATCATAATGAGCGTTTCCTCTATTTCGGCTCATCATACGAGCGATCGAAAAATTAAAAATCCAAAAGACACCTTTTCAGCTTTACCAGAATAGACATTACGCTTGGAGCGATAACTTCACTGAGATCGCGGCGCAACATACTCAAAATAGAGAAGGGAGGGGGGAGTAAAGGATAAAACACGAAAACGCATGCGCATTGTTGCCGCCATGAAGAAGACATTTTTATCCCTTTTTCATTGATACAGAAACATAATAATAAAATCATAATACTGTCGAGTACCCAAGATGTAGACAGTATGCATGACTGCTGCAACCTCGGATGCTGTAATAAAATGCGATTAAGACCTGAAAATTATGCGTGTCTGTCAACTACATAACACCGAAATGAGAGCAAAGAAATAAATATCCTTGTGTAGCAAGCATTTATTTTTATCATATATCGTGCATTAGATGGGTTCCTTTCTCACAACATTTTAGAGCAAAGTGCAAATAGGGAAGCTTGATTCTCGTCGATCTCTAGCCGTCTCTAGTAGAGTCAGTGTTGGAATAGGTCAGGTATGAGAAAGGGAACTACGCAAAATAATGAAATGGTCATATATAAGTTATCCCTGATGAAGAACATTACTTAAGAAAAATGCGTTGTTTTATCGAATGAACTATTAAAAAAAACTTTTGGGATGTTAGAATTTGTAGAATTTAAGGGTACTTTTCTGTTCTGTTGAGAAATGTATGCAAGTACCCGTGTGTATCTATATATGTGCGTATATGTGTATGCACACATATTCATACGTACGTGCATACATGAACATGTGTATTCTTCCACATATTGATACAAATATACATTTCTGAATCCTGTCCTGATAACAAAAGAGTACAGATTTAAGAATGTTAGAGATTTATGCGCGTTATTTTGTATATATACTTTTTATAGTCTGAGTCAACTGTGAGATATACACGAAAAAACTAGTTCGTGTTTAATAATAATAATAATAATAATAGTAATAGTAATAATATTATCCTGCAGGTACATAATTAAAAACTGCAGGATGACAGAGCTAGTGCGGACGCTCCGGTGACAAAATTTAGAGAGGGCAAAATTTTAGAATTCAGACACGCCAGACTTTAGGAGCCCCACAAAGCAGCAAAAAGATTAATATAAGTCCTAGGTTAATAGGAATTACAAAAAGTATCTACCAGGATGTCAGCTTGGAAATACTTAATAAAAATATTCTAAATCAAATCTTTCCGTAGTTCAAGGACCTTCTGAGGGAATTCTAGGAAATATTTCCCAAGAACACAGTTTCCGGACTTCAAAAGAAAAACTTTCAAAAAAATCTGTGTTACCGAGTATAAAATTAAACATTATACCAATAGCGATTTTGTTTCCTGTACGATATTTTTATTTCATGTAATTTTTTCTTACTTTTAAAATCTTCAAAAATTGTTCTGGTTTTAAATTACTACTACTTTCATTATTATGTCAAAGAAAAAGATAACGAAAAGAAACTCCGGTCCGTGGAATTTTGCCTTTTTTACCCTTTTATCTGATGCGTTTACTTTTGAGTTTAAAGGATTGAGTACCGGAGAGTCACCTTTTTAACATATAAACGTTTTAAAAGCTATACATTGCAATCGGGTTCTTAACAGAACAGGTTCTCGTGTAGCTTGTATAATTTTAGCTATGAATGGACATGCTGGTATTGATACGGTCGAAGCTACTGAACATCTAAAAAATATCTTGAAAGTTGGAAAGAGTGAATCAGAACCCGGTAGACTTTTTTTTCCAGCATTATTATATCATTTAATCTCTTATTTGATATGAAATCGTTGGATTATCATTGACGTTTCGTTAAGTTTTATTGGAAAGTGCTTTGTAGTTTTTAATGTAATATTCAGACTTGGGAAATTTTAAGAACTTTAAGTAACTATTATTCAATATTTAATTACGTTACTCCTTGAAATTAATTTTTCTTGAAATGTCACTGTAGAGAAATAGAAGATTTGAAGGGTGAAAGATGTTTATATCTCTAATTTAGAAATTTTGTTAAAATTATGGTAGAAAGTCAGAAAACTGGTAAGAATTTTGTTTAAATGTTGGAAAGGTGATCTGGATTTTAATTATCGATCTTTTTATTATTTTTAGGAATGGGAGGGGGAAAGTTATATTTGATTCTTGTAGCTGCTGATAAGTCACAAGTCATAATTATCCAAATCCTGTCTATTTCCCCATATTTTTTTAAAATTGATTATTATCCTTCCATGGTCAGCTTCTTTATCTCTGGATTTGCAAATAATATCGTTGTGATAAGATTTGAAGGTACAAAGTGCAAAAATAATGTAGGCTTGAGATATTACATATATTTATTTCATATTAATAATTTGGTGATACATAGACAAGGTTTACTGCTTTCTTTGCATGTTTCTTCTAATCTAAAGCTTTTAAAAAATTTCAATTATTATTAGGAAATAATTATTGTAATTAAAATAAGAAGCCATTTTCTTTTTTTCCTGTGACTTCCAATTTTGTAAAATCTTTAACTGACTGAATTATTCTTTATAATTCTTAGGAAGGCCAAAATCTTTTGTTTCAGCTTTTTTCTGGAATGTTTAAGCTAGTTTTATAACAAAACTATTTTTTATTACTTAAGTGTAAAGATATACTAAGCCATAAAATAAAATTTGTCTTAATTCACAGTATATATTGATATATATTACTTAGGCTAATTTATTTTAATTCCATAGCATCCAATTTAAAGCTGGTTGCAAACGGAAATATGGAAGCTTCCGGGGATGGAAACTCTATTTTGAATGAAGTACCATGTCAAAAAGTGTAAGACATTGATATTAATTTCTTGTAGTTTGTGTATGTATGTTAAAAAAAATTGGAAAGCTTTTAAGTTTTTAAAATTTTACATCAATTTATCTTTGCATTTTAAAAGTGGTATTTTTAGATTCTCTTTCTCTGTTTTAATTGTGATGTTAGAAATTGCTATTAAATTTTCAAACATGCGTCTCATTCATAAGTTTTAATAATTGTATTTTATATAATTCAAAGATTAATGTTCCATTTTTCAGGAGATAACACTAGCATAATATGCTAACAGTAGTTTAATATATTATTTAGAGATATAATGAAACAGTTTTTCACACCATTTTTAATATTACAATTATATCAAAAAGGGTAATGCATGTAAATAAGATGAAAGCATATACATTTTAAAATATCGGAATATTTTTAGCCTAAGTGATTCTCTGGGTGACGAAAAGTTCGAATCTGTATTTTTCAAAATGCAAGAGAAAAACGAAATTAGTTAATTGATGTCTTTCCTTACAAAAACCTAACTAGTTTATCAAGGTTCAGGATTCCATAAAATAAAGCAATGATCTTATGAGTGCATTGAGGCATCATGTTTATCTATTTATAGTGCTAAATGCATCGCTTGGTAACAGTTTTTATTTATGTAATGATTCTTGGAACAGAAAGTACCTCAGTTTATGGCATTTCCAGTTATCAGCTTTCTATTGAGCCCTATTTATATTAGATATTCGAGACTCAACTATATCATTTCTCAATAAGGGTGTCCCCAAACTCTTATTTTATTACAAAAAATAGAGACAAATAGGGTATTTTTAACATAGAGGTTTCTTGAGAGATGGAGTATTATTTCAACGCAATAAAATGCTGAGAAATATAATTCTATTATAATGACATCTTGAGTAGTTTTATGTTGAAGAGTAGAGTTATTTTTGTCATCATTGGCACTTTATCTATTAGAGTTACAAAAACGTTCCACATATTTTTTGTCAGGTTTCCAATAACAAAATTTGTCAGTATTTGAAAGCCACCTTACTGAATAATTTCTTAAGCAGAAACTAAAAGTATATGATTAATAATTCAAGAAATATTTAGTCATATAATAAAAACACTGTTTAAAATGCATGACATATAAAAGGTGTTCCAAAAATGAGATGCGAGGTACCAGAAGGAATTTCTGCAAGCTAAATTAAGCAAAAAATTATATATGAATGTATAGTGAGAAACCTATTGTTTCCAAGTTATGAGACCCCTCCCCCCCAAAAAAAAACACTACCTTGTGTGCAACATGAAACATCTTTAATACAAAGAATATTGTAAAAGGAATAAGTAGATACTGCATTGACCATTGAAAATACAGTCAACTCCCAGTAATTGTGCTAATAAACAGGAATGAGTCCATGTTAATCCAATTAATCTGTTAAACATTAACACAAGAAAGAGAAATAACCCATATTATGATTAACAAGAAAAGGTATCTAATTACAGATTTTTCCAGGTAGTTTAATTGAGAAAATAAGGTAAAATAGTTATATAAATTAAATTAGCATTGAAATCAGAAAAAGCACCTTCAAAAAGGGTGAAAAAATCATTTGTTTATATTACTCTTGTATTTGTCTTTTAAATAAATCTGAATTATTGTATTTCTGAGAGCTCTTTTTATCGCCTTCATTACTGAACTAAATAAATAAAAAAAACCACAATTCAAGCATTGAGTTGCACGTTTGGTCCTAGGACTAGGTGTCGGGTGAAATGTAATTTATCCCATATCCTTGTTGTTACTTTAAATAATACAACTTATGTGGGAGAGTCTGGCGTGAACGTTTGTGCGATTTTGTAGATGTTGTTTTTTCATACTGCAATAGATATACAGATTCTTCATTATTTAATGACATATGTAATACATAGACTGAAATCCAGACACTATGTGTCTTCGGCAATTCTGGATTTGGAATTTTTCCAGGTATTAGATTATCAATTTAATTAGATAACATATAGAAATTATAAAATTAAAAATATGAAAACTCATTTGTGAAATAATAAAGTATTTTTTACCTTAAATGAGTCCAAATTTACAAAGAAAGCTCAAAATTTATTTATTTGCTTCATTAAGCATTTCTTTCATTGTACGGTACAACGTCCGTGATCCGGACTCGTCGGGACTTCGGCGATTCTGGATTAAGGGTTTTTCCAGATTATAGATCATCAATTTAAATCTGGTAAGATGGCATGCAGTAAATTATACAATTAAAAATATAAAACTGTAATTTATGAAATAAAGAGCAGTTATGATCTAAAGGGTATCAAAATTTACAAAAAAAAAAAAAAAAAAAAGCTTAATATTTATTTGTTTACTTAATTAAACATTTCTTTCAATATAAGTTGATTCGTTTTTTGTGCTAATACTTTCTCTTTAATTCTATAGACAGACTTAATTTCTTGTTCAGTTACAAGTCCTGTAATTGCTGTGTCAAGAATACCGACTACTTGTAAATCGAAATTTTTCATTTTGAATAACCTCTCTGTTACTTTCTTCACTATCGGAAGCGATATTTTCTGGATTTAGAACCATACTACAGATTTTGCCGTCCGTTAATTGATTGATGATTGAGGCATTGTCGTTGCAATGGAAAACTTCTGTTGTATCATCTTCATTTATTACTGCTTCTCCACATTTCTTTACAAAATCCAATAATTGGAAAATTTCACCTTTAGTTTGCGATGTCCGAAAACCTTCAAATTCGTGGCTATCATCTTCATCCTCGCCTTCATGAAATATGGTAGCTGGCTATAAATTATGCCAAGTATTTTTTAATGTATATGAAGACACATCCTCCCATGATCTTGCGATGCTCCACACAGCAGATTTTATGCTAATAAATTTCAAAAAGTCTTGAATAGTCTCGCCATTGTTCAAGAAATGTAACATAGATTTTAAAAATTCTACTTCATATTTGCATTTCAGCGCGTGCTCTATTCCCATATCCATAGGCTGAATGATAGATGTACGATTTCGAGGGAAGAATAATACAGATACATTATCTTTCACTAAAACTTTAAGTATGTGCCACACGGTTGTCGGTACTTACGTATTAACGCCATCACAGCTGCAGATTTGGCGGTTTTTAAGTGCTGCCAATCTTCACCTAAAATTTTTGAGACAAATCATAAATTAAAACACTTTATTTAAAATCAAAGTAGTCAATCAGATTTCAGTGGAAAATGGGTCCGATATAGAGTTTAACATAGATTCAAAACAGTCTGTATTTTCTTTGACTTGATATGTTGCCATATGAACTCTGCTAAATAAGATTCTAAATGATGTCTTGCTCTCCCCATGTCTGTTGTTCCTCCATTTAGCACTGCCCCACATTCTCTCAACTGTTTGTGTATGAATTCCTGTATCAGGATCAATAAAATTGTATTTATGATTCACTTTAGCATGTAGGAATCCTTCTTTTTCTAGTCTATTTGTTTGGTAACCTTTCCAACTATCAGAATAAATTGTATTTGTTTGGTAACCTTTGCAACTGTCAGAATAAATTGTGCTACCAACTGCAATGTTTTCAATAATTTTATTAAGAAGTTTAGAGCCAGTTCTATTAGGAATAGTGACAACAAACGAATCTTTTGTCTCTCTACATATACCACCAAACACCCACTGTTCGAGTAGTACTCTACCACAATTACTTTTACGCTTAGTAAACAAACTTTCATCAATTTCCACAATGCAATCTGGTCCACAAACCTTCTTGCTGGGTTTATTCGCCATATTAAAGACACATAATTCACACATGTAATTGTTCCAATCTATAACAGTTTTATCCGATAAATCAAATTGCTTTTCACAAAATTTAATTAACGTCACCTCCTCGCACCAGCAGTATATGAATCTCAAAGCTGAACCAAATGGAATTATGCTTCCTTCAAACCAGTTGTCTTTTCTAAGTCCCACTTACTGATCACACTATCTTAAATTACATTTCCAAAACATATGTTTACCAAAATAAAGTTTCATATCATGTGAATTGGTATATTTTCGTTTTTTTGGTAAAATATTTCGTTCCTGAAAAAGTAAAATTGCATCTTCTTCTGCATTTGGCAAATCCCAAAGACGCATTTTCGTAGCAAATAAAAAATGGCGTCAAAAGTTGGCAAACAACAAGGCAAAAAGGAAACCAAAATATAACTGCATGTGAACAACAGGATTGCTCTTTACTGGCGCATCAACTCAACTTCTGCTGCGGTGGCACTAATATGTAAGTATCCAGTTGTCAACAATCAGGACTATTTTTGAGTCATCAGGTAAACCAACCAAATTCAAATGTCGGCGAGCCTCGGGTATAAAATGATTTTCAAACCAATCATTCATGAATGCTTGTGTCATCAATGCTCTTTTATTTCCGCAATATATAATGGGGGAAATCATTACTCCTTTAAATGCTCGAGGTTGTGCATGTTTTCCGATTACAAAAAGTTTGCACTTGTGCATTCCTGCAGCATTTGCATACGCTAAAATTGTTAGTCTCGCTTTGGAATCTTTGACACCAGTTGGAGCCTTTTCTGTAGAAGTTGCCAAGGTATTTCACGGTACATATTGGCAGAAAAGACCAGTTTCATCAGCCTTGTAAATTTGTTCTGGAGATAATTGTTCACTAGTAATGAGTAAATGAATTCATGTGCAAATTGTTCAGCAGCTTCAGTATCTGCTGAAGCTTTTTCACCTGAAATTTTTAATTGTTTTATATACTATGGCAATTTTTAAATTTGGTTAACTAACCTATCGAATATGTGCGCTAAGTGTTTAAGCTCATTTCTTCATGACATATTTTGGCTTGAGCTATTAGCATTGGACCCGTCAATGGCACGCCCTCGCTGTGATGCTGTCTGACCCATTCAATCATCACTTTGTCATGATCGTCACTTTTAGCATAACGAACCCCTTTTTCTGTTATTCATTGCAAGTGAGGTGTCGGAATCCACAAAAAATTCAAAAAGTTCCTTTTTCTTTTTGC